TATATATTCTTTGAAAAGTTATGGCATGGAGCCCAATTTTCATTAATAAATAAAAAGAATTAAACATAACAAGTCACATTTTAAAATGTGGCAAAACCCCAAAGAAAAGGAAAATAAAGAACAAAACACAAGAATATTGAAATCTCAACAATAAAAAATTCAAGGACTAGGACTCATAAGTAATGTTATCCGTAATGAGATGATTGAAGCTATATCGGCCAAAAGTGTATGGATCAAATGAAAATCATATCCCGATCAAAATAAAGTGTACATCCACCTCTTCATAAGAATGAAAAAAGCCAGCAAATCAACCACTAAGTGCTCGTTTGGGGCTGCTTATATGCGCGGTGAGAGTTTTAAAAACACCAAGCAATCATTTGTTTCGAGCATATGGACTGCGATACGAAATCGCTCGTCGCGGATCCTTCACTATTCCCGGCTGCGCTAGGGACCCAACAGTCGGCGTTTCGTTCGAGCGTATTCCTATCCAACCCCTCGTCCCCTCGACCCCGATCCCATCCCAACTTCTCTTCTCTTCTCCTCTCATTGGAGCGTATTCCCATCCAGCCTTGATCCCGATCCCGATCCCGATCCCGTCCCAGCTTCTCTTCTCTTCTCCTCTAGCTCGAGCGTATTCCCATTCCATCCAGCTTTCTGACTCAGGATGACTCAGGATATCTTCGTTCAGCATAATAAGGCTTTACTGTATGTGATTTACAAGAGAGACGAAGGTAGGGCAAAGATCAAGGGCAAAGAGGCTTCGACAGAATGAGGCTTCAAGTTTCAAGCTAGGGCACAACGATAGAGGTTTGTGCGACAGGGTGGACTTCGATTGATCGGCGTTGTGCGAAATACAGAGCAAGGGCGGTTGAGCACTGGGAGGATCGCGACAACACAGGTAGGAGTGGGTTGGAAAGTTCGCGACATAGGATGGTTGATTGCGGGTGGCTCAGTGAACGAGCGACTTTGGATTGCTCGGCTAAGGCAGAGCGAAAGAAACTTTCAGGAAAGGCAGGGAGGTATTCGACAAGGCCTTCTGACGTCGATTTTGTGAACAGAGGAGGTGGGTTTGGATTGCACGAAGGCTTCCGATGTTTGATTCGCTGGAATACGAAAGAACGAAGATGGCTTGGGAGGCACAACAGATAGGAACGACGAGGGATTCCACAATTTGAATTAGGCACTTTTCTTGTGCTTTGATGAATATATGAAGATCCAATAGACTTGCTCTGTTGGCGAAGAATTGGATAGATGGATATGCATAAACATCCTGCCACATGTGTGAAGCGGTATGTGTAGTTGTATCCACAATTTTCTCTCTTTCTATCTCAGTTATGTTGTGTATGGATCCAATTAATATGATCAAGCTTTTGTGGTATTTAACCCTTTAGACATTTTGCTCTATCAATTTTTAGATCAACAAATTCCAGAATATGATCAATTATGATGAATTTTTCATGGACGTAGATTTATTTTCTAGAGCAAGTATTCAATCGTTTGAATCAAACTTTGAATTTGTCCAAGTATTATGCTCAATTCCTTTTTATGTAGTATTGATATTCCCTTCACCCTAGTGTGGAATTTCGCTAAAGGGTTATCTTTTTGAACTGTTGGAATAACCTTTTTGACATGATCAGAATGATTTACGGGTTCTGTTTTATTTATTTTTATGCTCATACAGTTCTGTTGCAAAGAACTTAAACTAAACATGGACAAAATGGTCATTTATCCAACAACAGCTGTCAGTAAGCTATTCTGAATATGATGCTTCAAACAACACGCCAATTTATTATGATAATCTGCAGATTATCAAGTTATCAAAATAATCTGTTTATCAACAGTTATAAATAATCAACAGCTGCCACAAACAGACCCTAAGTTGCCCTTCACTTAATTCTTCATGACAGCCCTTAAAAAACTTTGAGATCTTGAATGTTGCATCAGAAAGATAGTACCTTTAAGCTCAACATAATATGATTTCTCATAAAAAACAAAAGAAGAAACTAACATAAGGATGAAAAAATGAAATGAGGTGGAAAAGTGTAGTTTGGAACATATAGGAGTTTGGCATCCAAACAAAGAAGCCTAAAAAATAATTTCCCATTATATTATTGGTTCCTCTTCCAATTCCAAAATTTAGCCTAACCACACTTTTAATATTGAAAAAAACACCTAAAATACTGTGAATTTTGGCTCCGAACTTGT